TATTATTATCTTATTGTAATAATGTTGCTATAGAAGGACTTGTTAACAATATTTAACAACAATAACTGTACACTGTCATAGATAGAATATAAGATTAGTATTATTATATTGTAATAATGTTGCTATAGAAGGACTTGTTAACAATATTTATCAACAATAACTGTACACTGTCATAGATAGAATATAAGATTAGTATTATTATATTGTAATAATGTTGCTATAGAATTCATATATTGGATTTGTGTGGACAGAGGGAATCCTTAAATTCCAAGTAAATATATATGGACAGAAAGAAACTCGGATATCAAGTAAATACACAACACTAAAATATGTTGTCAGAAATATAAAACTTATACAAGTGAATAACAGATATTTTAAAAACCAAGTGAAAAGGTAAAATTATATAAACAAAGATTGTGAGGAAAAGTATAATAGCAAGTAAGGAAGTAAATAACACATTAAACAGACTTACAAATGAAGTCTTGAGAAATTTATATTATTTTTATAACTCACCTATCAGAGTCAGTGCCATTTCGAGCAATGACCAGCTTTAATTTTGACAATCCCCCTACTGGGGCTCGATCACTCCCCGTGGCAAACTGTAGGAATTTCCTCTTCTGTTGTAAACTGAATTCATGAATTAACTCCCAGAAATAGCTGGAAACGTAGACCATTACTTAACTTGTGAAAAGTTGATAAAACAAACTTATAGTTCTACCTCAAACTTGCCTTGTTTCAATTAATATTCTTCATTATATTCAAAGACCATTAATCACTTAAATATTATAATTATATTATAGTGTAGAAAATAATTACCACAGTAAGAGAAAATCCTGAGTGTCAGAACTTACTAGAAACCCTGATTTGTTTAAAGAAAAAAGGTAAGAGAGAATATGTGTAAATAAAAAACACACATGAAACAATCTTCCATACCTAAAGACAGTAGATACAAACCACATGTGAAACATCAGTAGATACAAACCACACCTGAAACAATCTTCCATACCTAAAGACAGTAGATACAAACCACATGTGAAACATCAGTAGATACAAACCACACCTGAAACAATCTTCCACATCTCAAGATAGCAGATACAAACCACACCTGAAAAAATCTTCTACATCTATAGCCAGTAGATACAAACCACACCTGAAAAAATCTTCTACATCTATAGCCAGTAGATAAAAACCACACCTGAAACAATCTTCTACATCTATAGCCAGTAGATACAAACCACACCTGAAACAATCTTCTACATCTATAGCTAGTAGATACAAACCACACCTGAAACAACCTTCTACATCTATAGCCAGTAGATAAAAACCACACCTGAAACAACCTTCCACATCTAAAGATAGCAGATACAAACCACACTCGAAAAAATCTTCTACATCTATAGCCAGTAGATAAAAACCACACCTGAAAAAATCTTCTACATCTATAGCTAGTAGATACAAACCACACCTGAAACAATCTTCCACATCTAAAGATAGCAGATACAAACCACACCTGAAACAATCTTCCACACCTAAAGTCAGTAGATACAAACAATACAAAACAATCTTCCACACCTATAGCCAGTAGAAACAATTTTCCCAAACTGAAGTTAGTAGATAAAAACCACACATGAAACAATCTTCCACATTTACAGCTCCTTAGGACTACACAATACACACAAAAAATAAAACCACCAATTAAGTTCTTCAGCAGGATACATTTGTTTTTTTTCAGCCATAATCTCATTCTCTTATCCTGATTAACTAACAGTCATAAAGCAACATTTATGGAAAGTTTTTGCTACAATTTACCTAATGACAGGCGTGTCAACTGTATAACCACCATCATATTCTGTAGCTTCTTCAAGAGCATTGAAGTCAAAGTGCTGTAAAATGAGAACAGAAAAGACCGTTATAAAACTTAATAAAACTAACTTCTGCTGGTATTTAGGTCACAATTTGTTTCCGAGCCAATTTTAGATTCATACACATCTATTATAGCACATTTCTTTGCCATTTATTCTCATTAATTTATGAATTTCATCCAAACGTTTCTAAATTTTTTACATATGTAGTGTAAGATATTACCAATAATTTCTGATCAAAACAAAGATCAGAACTAAAAATAAACCCAGAAGATAATTTAGTTAAACAAACCAATCTAATTAGGAGTATGAAATAAAATAAAACGAAAACCCATAATGATTAGAATCTACTGTTTCATCAGTTTAGTAACATCTGTTAGTGGATATTTTCTGCTATAATCTAAAAAAAAAAGTCTCAAGAGGTTTGAACAGCTTTGAAGATTTATGTTAGTCCTTAATCCATAGGCTAAACTAACAATACAAAGTAATCTTTATTAAAATATATATATATAATAAAAAGGAAAATAAAACATTTTAAAGGAAAGTTGGGATCGTTGGTTATTCATAGAATTGCTATAAGAAGTATCGAAAACAGAATAAACGCTACAATAAAAAGTACACAAACAAGGAAAGTGATACTAGTTGGATTGTTTTCAATCCCTAGTTTGGTTGGGATTGAAAGTTCCATAAAGTCTGAATATGCCCACCAAATAGGGATTGAAAATCGTTTTAAAATCTTTACAAGTGACAATTCAACCGTATGAGATTTCTGTGAAATTCTGGAATAAATCTTTAATTTGATTTTTCCTCTAAAATAGAAATGTGACATATGTAATAAATAATATATTTTCCAGATGGATTCTGGAGTTTTCTTTTAATACAAAATAACCAATGTAGAAAAATTAAGTATTCTCAGTCTTTCTAACTGAATAAGAGAACTTTTCAAAACCTGCTTGAAATCATCAAGAAAAAGTGAGAATGCCCTTTCTGTAATACTGTTGTTGCATATGAATGGGATAAATTATCATAAGAAACAAGTATAGGCCTAAATGTCTCAAAAATATGAAAGATAATGGGAAAATGTTGAATTTTGCACATCAAACTCCTGAAGACAATGTGCTCCAAGAAATGTATTTGCTTTAGAGCAAAGCCACATTGGTCAATCTAATGTGTCCACTGTGTGGAATCAAACCACAGATTTGAACACTGTAAGTCCATAAGCTTACCAATGTCCCACTATGGGATGCTTCAAAAAGAAGTACAGAACTTGGTATACAGGATGTCCTTCTATATTCCAAGTTAGAAAGTTCTGTTAAAGCAATGCTGCCCTCTAAGTCAGTAATGAATACCTTGATACTAGGTAAGCAGAAATTTCACTAACCAAAATCTTACACTATTCAGATTCACAAAAGACAGGTTTACTGTCACTCAGATTTTTCATGTTTCAGGTGGACAATATGCAGGTTCACTGTCATTCAGATTTGTTATGTTTCATGTGGACAATATAT